AGGATTATTCTCCTCTAAAATTCTGTGGTTTTTTACTTTCCTTACCTCTCATTTTTCGAAGTTGAAGCGGTTTTAACATTGGAAGCACTTTGAGATTTAATATTGGTCAGTTCCACAGACCTAAAACTTAGTGTGAATACTTTTCTTTTGAAAATCGCGATGGAATAGCTCTTAAACCATTAGTAAATTCAAATGGTAGATGCAGAAGGAAAATTTCCAAAGCATCAAAGTATTTATATCGGAATAAATAGGAATTAGAACCACTAGAGCTCCCTCAAGTATACTTTTATAATCTCTAATCTTATTCATGGCTTTTCTACATTCCTAAAAACTCTTAACATGTTTGTTATCAAAACTCTTTAATCCCATACAAAGTAATATGTGAAATTACAAAATACAAAGTTAAAGCCTTGCCAAGCACCAAATGAATCACTTTTTCTTCTTCCGAATGAATCCATCAAACTGGAAGGAGTCCTCCGTCTCATCAAGCATATTGGGTTGACAAAGTTGTTAACTGCGAGGACTTTTTGTGTCTCCTGCTGTTGTGCGAGCACGAGTATCTCATGCGACGGGATACATTTTCCATGCCATTTTCTAGCAGCAGCCACGGCCATAGCTCCAGCTCCATTTTCACAATGAATCATCGGGCTAAAAACAACAGCACAGAAGAGCCAACTTTTTCAGTGCAACCAGAGAGGCAGGGTGGCGGGGGGACGGCCGGCGAGAGGTTGGAGGACCTCCATAGGACATAGGAGGGAGAGAGAGAGAGAGAGAGAGGTTGGAGGAGCAGCCGGTCGCGTGTTCGTCAGTTTAACCAGCATGACATGGCCCGGTCCATTGCGGTCCTGGTCTCTGGCATTTCAGCACTTATTCATAAAGTCCTTGCCTTGCCAGCCGCCGCCGCCGCCGCCGCCTGGCCACGGAAAACAAAAGGCGCAAAAACCCCCCAAGAAGAAGAATTACTAAAAATTTATCAATGTAAAAGTTTTGTTGGCGAGAGAGCAGGAAACAAGCAACAATGTAAATTATATGCCAGTTGGTTTTGCCATTTTAGAGGGGATCGGGTCCAATGGTGGGAGAGTGGCTTTCCCTTTGTCTGGGAATAGGGGCAGTCCACAGATACATTTCGTTGTATGGTATATCCACAGATACATTTCGTTGTATGGTATATCTGCATATCTGCATGTACATATGCTTTTGAGCATAAAAAAGTCCTTGGAATCTAGTATATCAAGCATTTGTGTGCATCCAGAGGCTGCCGGTTGCTGCAAGTTTTTATGTTTCAGAAACTGCTTAATATGTGGAATTTTTGAGAGCGAATTCAAAATAGGAAATTGCAAACTAAATTCACGTTTATAAATAAACAACATACAGAATATTTCAAGTGAATAAAGTATGCAGAAATAGGTCCAAACAAAGCTTATACAATGCCAAGGGAAGCCCTGGTCTTTGTTCAATTTATTTATGTAAAATGCAGAATTAGAAAATTGTAAAATTTATCAAAATTATAAAATCCGAATTTGTATTGAAATATGCAGAAAACCCTATAGATCCTGAGAGCACAATTCCATCTAAAACTTTTACAGATTCGCACCATCCTCCCAACCCAACCCAAACTGCATCCCTTCGCCAAACCATATTCCCCTTCGGACCACCCACTTTCAATGAACTGTCCAAAGCAGCAGCATCGGCCGAACAGGGCTAAAAAAAATGGCCAACATTGTGGAGAGCAGCTAGGAGGAGCAGAAGAGCAGGAGGCGGCGGCGGCGGTGAATGGTGTAAAGGAGGTGAGGCCGTGTGGCAGAAGCTGTGGCAGTGGCAGTGGCAGCGAGTGCAAAAAGGCGCTCAAATGGGGTTGTCAGTATTTAACCCAAAGGGGTTGGAGGTGCCGCCCGACTGCGCGAACTCCGAGCAGTCTCTGGTCTCTGGCCGCCGCCGCACACAACAATGTAACGGGTGGCACTGCTGCTGTCGGTTCTGTCGGTTCTGTTGGGGCTGCTGGTGGGAGAGAGAGGACCTGAGTAACATACGAGGCACTAACAAGAGGTGCCGAGAACCAAGAGATTAGGTTCACAGGCAACGGAGGAGCAGACGACTGCAGGATGTTGCACAGAGAGGAGCCGAGACCTCACATATATGTACATAACTCATGGAAATTGCGCGTACGGGAGCGGGACATCCATCCAATTGAATTAGACTCCGAATGGCTGCCAGAGAGAGACATCTAGAGACATCTAGCGGTGTTAATAAAAAGCAAATACAATTTTTTCTAACCATTTTTTGTTTATTTTTATAAGAAAGCAGCAAAAATTCCGATACAGTTAATGATAAGGTAGGGAAAACAGCCACGCGATAGAGGCAGGAAGAGCGAATGAAGGCCAGAGAGGGATGCAGCTACCAAGACAGAGCGAGAGGGCAACAGAGCAGAGTAGAGGCGTTGCCAGAGTCCACTTGGAGTGAGAGTGCGACTGTATGAGTGAGAGAGCGTGCCAAACTGAACGAAACTCTGAGACTTTTGAGTGGAATCCAATTGGAAGTGAGCATTTTTTGCGGGCAGAGAAGTCGCCACCCCAACCAGGGAGGCTCGTACCGACTCTGGGACCACGACCACCGCATATCGTTCATCATCCAATTGAACGTTTGCACTGTGCTCTGGCCTTCCTACCCTCCAGACACCAGAGGGCGCCAGCGGTCGCTCGTTACGCCCTTTCCATGGATGGGGGATGTATCTCTGGGGATGGGGGTTGGGAGGGCTCTAAGATTGTGAGAAGGGGTCTGTGGATGGGGCTCTGCTCTGCTCTGTTCTGTTCTGAGAGGGGGCTCGGCTGTGTAGATGGTTTTCTGAGGTTTCTGAGGAGTGCAAAGTGCTCTGGCCACAATTTGGCCCTTTGGACTGCCACTGCAACTTTTTTGCAAACTTTTGCCGCTTGCGACGACACTTTTCCAATAGCCATTTCCATTTCTCTCGCTCTTTCGTACGCTATCACTGCATCTCTTTCTTGTGAAAAATGAAGTGTCGACACCGTTGCGTGGCTGACGGCGATTTCTACTGCACTTTTCCCTTGGCAATTTTCACTCTTTCTTGCATTCATTGCGTGCAAATAGCTGCCCATAAAATGCTAATTTCAATTGAATGCTGAATCCGACGGGGTGCTCGTATTCTCCTTTTCCCGAATACGAAACCTCTTTGCAACAGTAGGCTGCAAGCGATGACGTGTGGGCAGGAAATAATATCCAACAAATGGACATATCACGTTACCTCAGAGGTGTCCTCGTTAAAATAGAATTCAATTATAGTTATGATTTCATGTTTTGGCACTTCCCAAACGCGTACTTCCCCCAGACACGAAGGCAGGGCCCAAAGAAGGGGAGTCGGTGGGGGCCTGATCCAATTAGCCAAGAAATATTATAATTATATTACGACAGTCAATGGGCTTCAGTCGTAAAGTTCTATTCGGGGTCACCCTCCAGGGGTACATTGAGCGTTAATAATACGTTTCTGCAATTGGTTCTAGTTATAGCTGGATTGAGGGCACTACTAAATTATGTTACATATAGCTTTGAACGGAGGAAAGAGCGGAATAGTTACTGTCTATAAACACAGTTTTATCTCTTTTTAATACCCATTTAATTGAATGTTATCCAAAGCTAAGTAAATGGAACTTGTATGCATATTCTGTATGAAAAATTAGCATTTCAAATATGTCATAAAATCAGGGGATCTTAAAGATATTCCACGGAAGCAGGTGGACATTGAAAATATATATATGTACATTCTGATAATTAATTGAACAAAGATCTAAAACTACTATAGTAACCCAATAAAAATTTGTCTTGCATTAGTTATATTGCAGCACTTAATATCAGATTGAAATATAGGATCATTAAATCGAATACGATTTATCTGCCAATGGAGGTATATGGTTGATCAAAAAAGATCACATTTCATTGCCATAAAAGTTGGAATAATTCTAACTGGGGAACACGTGCAACAGAATATATAGGGCCTGTCCAATAGAAGCTCCCTGCATTTCAAGGACATTCAAGTCGTAAACCAACCTAGCTTCTCTTGGTTATATAAACCCATCTACATCCTATCGTCCATCATCTATAATCCCACTATCTTTGTACCCGAAACTTATCTCAGTTTCCTTTCGCTTAGCAACCAATAGAAATGTAGCTTTAAGGCAAACATATCGGCCATTATTCCTATGCAAAACTCTTCTAAGCAGATAAGAAAATCCACATAAAGCACCTACCAGAACTTGTGGCAAAAAGTAGAACACACTTAAAGCCAACCAACCAGAGAGGAAAGAACTTCTCGGAAGATTCAAAAGTAAATTTCGGGGAGGAGACTGCGTTTCATTTTAAAGTTAACAAAAAGTTGGATGTATAGAAGAACAACACAGAGGAGCAGAAGATAAAGAACCTTAACGGTAAAGTACGAGTATCTAACAGATGCGTCAAACAACAACAACACCAGCAGACTAATAAGCAGAGAGGAAGCAGAAGCAGAAACAGAAACAGAAATACAGATACCAGATACCGAACCAGAGGCAAACGAGTTCTTTCTTGTTGGAACCCGCTGTGTGCTCTGCTGTGCTCTGAGCGTTTTGCACTCAACGAAAGACGAACGAGAGAGCCCCATACCATACCAGAGTACAACACCCGGTGGTGGTGCTGTAGTGGTAGTGGTGGTAGTGGTGGTAGTGGTAGTGTGGAGAGCATTGGTATGGTATGCTGGTGGTGGTGTGGTGGCAAATCAGCCAAACGCGTTGAAGGTCTTGCCCCGCCACCAGAGAGCAGCCCGGAGCACACAGTGCGAGTGCGACCGAGAGCGGAGATTTCCACTCAACTGGCGCCGTGCCATTGCAAAGGCGAGAGTGCAACAAGAGCGGCAATAGTGCGCGGGTATCTGTATGGTGGTGTGGAATGAGAGAGATTTGTGTGATGTGTCGTTAGGTCGAAACGGTCGAGTCGAGTCGGGTCGGGTCGTGTACCTTTTGCCACAAATGTTTTGCCAGTCAGGCTAGGCTGACTGAGATTTTGCTGCTCCGCATGACGCGCATTTCCATCGAAGATACCGAAATACACTAGTGGAAAAAGTACTTGAGAGATGAATCTTTAAAGTTCAGCACTTTTCTAAATTCGTATTACTTCGTGTGTGCCACCGCGAGAGGAAAAAATCAAAAAGAAAATCATTATAATTATAGGAAAAACCACCAAGTGTCAAATGAGTGAAGCGTGAAAAATGTTCGAAGAATATAATCACAGAAATCTGAAATAAATTTACAAAAATATTTGTATTCGAAACGAGCTGCAGATAATATTTCCCGCCCAAAGGAAATTAAACGAAAATTCAAATAAAATATAAATTCAAAGAGAGATTTCAAACCGAATCGATCCGATCGTCGTGTCGTGCGAGAGAGTGCGTGCAAAGTGTATTCCAGCAATTATCCCACGTGTTCCGATCCGGCCGCCAAAATTATTACGCACAATTCCCTGAGCGTGTACGGCGGCGGCGTCATGTGCGCCTCCCCGTCCACGGCTCCCGGTTTCTTCAATCCGCGGCCCCAGTCCGGAGCCGAGCTCTCGGCCTTCGATCTGGGACTGTCCCGGTCGATGGGGCTGGGCGTGCCGCCACATACGCCCTGGCACGACCCCAATCTGGGCAGCCACCTCCATGCCACATCCGCGGGTCCGGGCGGTTCGCTGGCCGGCACCACCGGCACCAGCACTGGCGGCGGTGGGACCACACCCAGCAGCGTGGCCAGCCAACAGTCGGCGGTGATCAAGCAGGATCTCTCCGGCCTGTCCTCATCCACGGCGAACCACAACCAAAGCTCCCATCACGGCATCAAGGAGGATCTCTCCAGCCTGCCCAGCGCCAACGGAGGCTCCTCGTCGGGCCATCATTCCAGTGGCGTGCAGTCGGGCCATGGCACCGATATGCTGCCCATCATCAAGGGCCAGCCCGCCAGCTGCGGTGGAGGAGGGGGTGGGGGCAGTGGCGGCGGAGGCGGCAGCACCACTCCCAGTTCCCAGGCCAACAGCTCCCACTCGCAGAGCAGCAACAGTGGCTCCCAGATCGACTCTAAGCAGAACATCGAGTGCGTTGTGTGCGGCGACAAGAGCTCCGGCAAGCACTACGGACAATTTACCTGTGAAGGTGAGTACTCATCATCATCATGATCATCTGCGGATGTATCTTTATCCATTGTTTGGGGGTCAATTGATTTCGACTTGTACGGTGCACGCTGCACGGAGTACGGACTATAAGGAGTATCTCTCGGTTGATGATGACCAAACAGAAATTGGCATCGTATCGCAGTTTTTCGTAATAGAAAGGTAACACAAAAGCGTGCCTGCCAGCCGCTGATTTTTGACAGTTTTCGGTGAATTATGGCAGTTTGATGAGTCGGCAGTAAAAATCCACCAGAGACAGAGGGAGGGCCACTGCGGAAGATCTTCTCTGCAGTCCGATGGATGTGGATGTGGATGTGGGTGTTGGTGTGTGTATCTTCTATGGCATGCAAATCTTTTGGCGGGAGCACAGCTGGAATTTATCTTTTTCTTTGCCTGGGAAGTGGCCAAGCGAGCCAAAGTGCAGCACAAGGCCTCGAAATCCTGTAGAGGTACATTTACGAGCCAAAAGATACGTTTATGGCATGAAAGATACATTTGTATCTTCGGCTTAGAGTTATAATTACGCCCAAGAGTTAACTATCAGCTGAGATTATACAGCATTAAAGATACGTTACTACCATTCCGAAATATATTGAGATATTTTCCCAGAAACCTGCGGATCTCTGGTCAGCCTTTACCGTTACACTTAGTCAGAGAGAGAGAGAGAGAGAGAGAGAGAGAGAGAGAGAGGAGAGCAGCTCTTGAGATACGAAATTTTATACACTCGCAAGGGAGATGGCCCCCTAGGCGACCCGGGCACACACTGAACCGCCAGAGCCTCAACGTTCCAGCTTATCGTCAGATAAAAATTATTATCTAAATAAAATACGGTCCGTGCTTTGTCCTAAGCCAAACACAATTGTTGTGCAAACATGCAAATTGTGCGGCGGCTGCGGCGGCGGCTGCTAAATGATGCGCCCACCTTTTTATTGTCTCTCCCAGAGATAGAGATACTTCGAGGGAACTGCATTCAAAGAGAGGGAGCGGCAGAGGGAGGAGATACTCGTACTGCGGCGGTGGCATTTAGTGCAACTTCACGTTGAACTTGTCATAATCGTATCTCTTCAAATGTTCTGGCAGCATAGCAGAAGAAATGAATGCCTCAAGAGAGAGATACAGTGGGTAGAGACATACTTTAGATACAATTCCGCTTGCCACGGATAGCGGATAGCAGATAGAGGTACTGGTACTGGTACTCCTCTCTGAGTGCACCCACTGTGCATACTTCTATGTATGTATGGCGGGGTGTTTTGTGGCTTTTGTAGGCGCTGCTATTATTATTAATCACCGAGCATTTTGTACGCATGCGCAACCCACAAGAACAAGAACAATCTGTGACCGCCTCGTTGCATTCTGAAGGTGTTTTTTACCCCGTCCACTGCACTGCACTCCACTCCACTCCACTCCGCTCCACTGTCCCTGCCCCAAGTCTCGCTGCGGTATGTAGTGCATGGGTATCTCCCGCATCTCTTGCGCTCTCTGCCTGTTGGCTCTGATGATGTTGCCACGATAGCAATCTATTTTGTTCTATGCAATCGCCAGACAACCTCAGCTACAGCCAGAGCTTCAGCTTCACTCAAAGGCAGGCCTCTATTCGTACGAAATGAAAATAAAACTAAAGAAAAAATATCATAATAAAGCGCATAGAAAGCGCATACGCGTCTCAGGGCTCATATCATTGCTGGGCTTCTAAGAGGTTTCTTTGGAGGTGAACTCAAACCCATAGTGTGCCCGGGTCTCGTCCTCGTCCTTCAAGGTGCAGATACATTTTGTTGCTTTTTTAGAAAAGAAAAGATATAGGTAGTACCTCCGCACCAACCCGTTTCGCGACTGTCTGTGTGCGTGCTCCGTCCATGTGCGCTCACTTGTCCGTCTGTCTCGCTGTCCATCTGTCTCGCTGTCTCGCTGTCTCGCTCTGTTGTCCGTTGTCCGTTGTTCGTTGTCCGTGTGTCTTGCTGTCCAGTTTCCAGGTTTCAGGGCACACGAGAGAGCTTGTCGGCTCAGTATGTGAAATTTATGCCAAGACACCCTCCCTCCCTCCTCAGAAAGAGCTCTCCGTACTCCCAAGATTAATTGTAGCTTATGCGTGTTGTCTGTTCCTGTTCCTGTTCGCTCGCCCTGTTATGCCCTGCCATGCCATGCCTTTCTGCCTGCTCCTTGCCAAAGACTCTGCCTCTGCCTCTGCTTCTGCCTCAACTTCAACCCATTGTGGTGGCAACTTGTTTGATTCCACACTCTCTGCCACACAGCTGTTGCAGACTCCTCTTTCTCGGGTGAAATTAGGCAGAAGATACGCCAACGTTTTGCACTCATCAGCCAGCGCTCCAAAGTGCCTTCTAACCTTTTGCCAGCTCCAAAAGTCACGGTTCGGCTCGGTTCGGTTCGGTCGGGGTCTCAAAAAAATGTGCGCTGATAAAAATGCCTTGATAATATTAATGATGAGTACATGGCTCTAATGTGCCCAAAAGAATCCGCTGCGGCCCACAGACTACGAGTACAAACTCTTACCGACTCCTATTAATTTAGCCATTTGTCATGGCTATTAGTGGCCCAAAAGTGTAGATTTCTTCGTGGATCCTGCATCATCAATCACTAGCAGTGGCAGCAGCAGTGGGAAAAGATCTTGGAAATTATTAAAAATACATAATTCTTGGCCAGCATTTCCCTCGAATCCATTGAATTTCAAATTGCAACAAGGAAAACTATCTCAGCACCCATGTCAAGAGGTGGAATTAACATAATTTATCTACCGCTCATGACAATGACAAATAAATTTTGCGAATTAAAACAGCGACTCCACAAAGTATCTTAGTATCTTGGCATGTTTGCAATTAATTAAACTAAAGCTGTAGCTCCAGCTGAAATTAAGTGCAGCTCTGATATAGAAAACATAAAGAGTTGTAAGAAATTGCCATCACAACTAATTGTTAAGCGCCAGCCGAGGCCCATTAGCTGCCACAAATAGTGTGTGTGTGTGAAATGCATCCGCCAGATACGGATTGTCAACTCCGGTGGCTGCCTCTGCTCCATTTGTCCCATTTTCCGCATTGAGCTGCATGCTCATTTAAATAGCTTCCCACGTTCGACGTCCATAAAAGTCAAATTTTAAGGAGTAACTTCCTTCAGTTATCCAAAAAGTTCTGAAGGTCGCAGATCGCTTGGTCATTCTGTCGTGTATCTTTGTATCTTTCGCTTTCGGATGGGGCAATCGTTTCCTTGTCCTTTCCTTCCTTTTGTGCAGAATTGCATTCAACATGTGTGGCTTTTTAATTAACTTCATTATGAGTTGGGTAAATAAATTACTTGCGGAGAAGTCTTGAATTGAAAATTCCCATTTCCTCAGACCGATTTTAATCCACTTGCAACTTGAAATTTTCTAAAATTCCAAGACTAATGTATGTAGATGTAATAAAGAATTTTGACTTCTGGGCTTATCCGTTTGGTCTGTTCATTGACTCATCCAATGACAAGAGATTTCTATATGGTTTATCCACAGATAAATCACTTGAGAAAACTGTCCAAATTATATCTCATTAAAGCATAATCTTTTTCCAAACTTCTTTGTTTGAATTCAGATTTCAAAATATTTTTTTATTATTAGTAGAAGATACTTTCCACCTTTTGACAATCTGTTAAATGGCGCTCGGCTCTAAAATACATGTTTCCCTGTGAAAATTCATTCGACTTGAAGCATTTAACAAAAGCGAAAAACATAAATCAATTAGCTGTCCGTGATACCGACCTCCTCCTCCTTCTTTCGAAACCCTCTCTCTGTCTTTCTCTCTCTCGCCGAATATTAAAAGATACAAAGTAAATACGAATCCAGAAAATTAACAACGCCCACTGGAGGATTGCAATTTATGACGTTCCCTGGTTTTTTTGGGAGGCAAGTAACGCCCGCAGCCAGCGGATTTCTTATTTATTAATTAGCAAGAAATGGAAAATAAATTCGAGGCTTGTATTAAAAAATTTGCATTTAGTTTGGGGTTCAGTACAAAAACGCAGCAAAGGAGGCTGCTCCCCGAATCGAGTCAATTTCTTGGCCATAACATTTATCAAATAAATCGCATTTTGATAAACATTTATAACTTCCGTGCGATTTGCAGTCTGGTCTCTGGGTCTTGATTTACAACTCGGTAGCAGCCCCTCATGTGTGCGCTTGTGTGTGTGTCTCTGCGGAGAGCCATGTGGCATGGGGTAACTTATGGCCTCAATATTTATGTTGACAAATTTTTATGTTCCGCAAGGAAATAAATATTACATATGGGAGGGTTAATGCATCGCAGGAGGGTTAACGATTATGTCATAATAATCATATTTATAGAGAGAAAACACAGAAAGAAGGAGGTTTATGGAAGAGAAGACTCCACAGAAGTGCTACTTTGCACAAGCCGAGAGATGGGAATATGCATACGTATCTATAGATTAACCATTTCCCCAATTTCGCAACACTCTCAAAGATACAGAAACAAACAAGCGGAGAGGAAGAGAATCTTTCACCATCCCTTTGGGAGGGGGAGTGGGAGTGGGAATGGGAGTGGGGTATGAGGGATTACTCAACGTTGTGTCAACATTAATGAGCCCAGAGCTGAACCCTTCATTAAAAATAATCCAACCATCCAAGCAGCCCAAAGGAAAATCACCCAAAAACAAAACTTAATTGTACAGATATTGTTAAAACAAAGAAACAGAAACAACAAAAGCAGCAGCGTTCAGCAAAAGGCAGCAAGGAGCAGCCGCAGCAGCGGCAGACATTGTAATCATTAAAACTTGGCTTGTAGTACAAATCGTTGTACTTAGAAGAAATGTTCAAGCCAATAAAGCAGCAGCCGACCCTAGACTAAGACTCAGACTGCGACTGAGACCGAGACTGAGACTGAGACGGAGACGGAGACAGAGACCCAGATCCAGTGGAAGGTCTCTCCCCCAGTGGAAATCCCTCTGTGGAAATGAGGCGCAAAAAATTCATCCTGACACGATGCGATTTCCAGCAAAAAGGGGCGCCCGAAAAAGACCGAAAGACTGGGAGACTGCAGTAGGGAAATCGTGAACTACCGACTTGATCCGCTTTATAATGTAACGGTTTAATTAATTATGTTAAGCTTTTGGCTCTCTAGAGATCTGTTGCTGCTGCTGCTGTTGCTGCTGCTGCTGGTACTGCTGGGGCTCTGGGGCAGAGAGTCGTCTCGGTTGTGGCTGCCACTTCATGCGCAATTTTCGTTTTCAACTAACTTGGTCTAATCGATCAGGCCCAGCGAAATGTTGGCTGCAACTTTTGCTTGGCACGTTTTTATTTTGTGTGCATCTCCGTTGTGGCTGTGTGGCACTTGCAACATTTGCTAGAACCGATCCGTGGTACGACATGCCCCGCAGAGAGAGAGACCAGAGACTGGGGACTAGGTTTGAGCTGAGCTGAGCTGAGCTGAGCCGAGGCCTGGCCAAGACTCTTTAATGGTGCAACAAGCCAAGCAACACGGCGGTGCTGCAGCAATAACCTCTCTTATCGCCATGTGTCGCTCTGTGGTCCGAACACCACCGAACAGCTCTTGTACGTAGTACGTAGTACATGACCAGGGCAGACCCTGCTTCGACTCCGACTCCGACACCGACACCGTCTCCATCTCCATCTGCAGTTTGCGGCTGGGGCATAGAGCTTGCCGCATAACTTCACATAGCATCAGTTAAATCAAAGCTAAATCGCTTATCTGGGCTCGTCGGCGTTTTCCTTTTGGTCGCTTTTGTATCTTTTTGCAACGTGTAGATCGTTGTGACATATGAAAACTCCAAGTGGCACTCTTTTGTTGTTCCAACAATTGGGGAAAGTTCTTGGCAGCAAGAGGACACTTTGCCAAGAGCTTCCCAGTTTTGCCAATTGGATTTACAGTTGACCTATATCGGGTAATAACCCGGGGCCTAGAGCCTCTACCCTGCCCAATCAATCCCAGAGGGGGGCCGCCACCTGTTCCGGCTCTTTTGTGTTCTTTTGCCGTCAGATTGCCACGACCCGTTCATAATCAGTGCATTTTGTAGATACTTCGTACTGGTACAACAGAAGAGTGGCATGATGGTGGGGATTCGTGTCTGTCTGTCTGGCGGGGGCTCTGGCTCTGGCTCTGTAATTATGTTTCGGTTGTACTCCAGATATTTTGTCTAGCCGCCTCTGGACTCCCTCCAGTTCCAGCTGCAGTTGGAGGTTGGGAGTCTCCGCGGAGTCTTGCCGTCTTGCAGTCTTGCAGAGTGGCGGTGTGTGCTAATTACTTGGACTAGCTGCTTGCACCATGTAAGCTTCAACATTTAATTATTGCACCTTAATGATGGCTCTCTCTCTCTGTCTGTCGTATGTGTTTTAGTAATTAGAAAATGAGCCAAAGTCAAGGCTCTGGCTCTGGCTCTGGCTCTGGCGCTGACTCTGACTTTGCATTGCAGTTCTTTGAGCCCAGCGATCATTGACCGCAAATGCTGAGAAAATTGAATTGATTGAAGCTATATGTATGCCAAAAGATATAGATATACTCTCACCCAAGTTACAGACACTCTCTCCAGCGATAGATAGAGATACTAGAGTTTGCAAAAGCCAACTAATTTAACGCTTTAAATTGATCAGCCAAGCGGCAAGCAGACCATCTCGTGTCTACATATCTAAAGATAGTATTTTTGTTGCTGCTGCTGCTGCAGTTTCAGGAAGTTCAATTAATAAAACGCTTAGCTTAGCTTAGTTCTTGGAAAACCCCTCGTAACTGTATTGAACGCTTTATGGCGCGTAGCGCACGCGATACGAGCACTCGTACGAGTGCTCTTCTGCCACCCTCTGGCAATTAGGTGAAGCGGTAATTGAAACTACCGCAAAGCTTAGCTCTAGACTAAGCCAAAGCTAGCCACTTAAGTTAGTAGAAGTCTTAAGCTTAAGCTGCAGTCGAAGCCATAGAGGAGGCAGTGGAAGGGCTTCCATCAGGGCAGATACTTCCCACAGTTGTCGCCTCTCACTCTCTGTCTCTCTCTCTCTCTCCGTGGGGCGATCCACCCTTTTTCGGTTATTGATATAACACGATATGACGGTATCCCTACCCCGCCTTAAATTTTGGTTTACGGTATCTCTAAGCTACGTTGTACTCGTACTCGTACTCGTACTCGTATCTTCATCAATAACGACGACGCGCGCATCTTTCGCATCGCATCGCATCGCAACGTCCACTGGGGATGGGGATGGGGATGGGGCGGCTGCAGCTCTAGATAGAGTCGCGATAGGCGCATATGGGCAGTGTGCCTCTGTTGCACAGTTCTTTCAGGCACAGACACAGACCGACCTGGCTGCAACGTCTGTCTGTCCGGCCGTCTGTCCGTCTGTCCGTCTGTCTGTGTGTCCATCTGTATCTCTTTCCAACAACAGGCAAAAGCGCAGTCAAAGCAAAAGATAGTATTGGTTAAGAAGGGGTTAACCAGGGGAAAGAAGAGGTGGTAGCAGGGGGTTAAGGAGGGGAAAGATGGCAGTAGCGGGGGTGAGGGCAGAGGCACATCTAGAGGAAGACGACGAGGAAAAAAAAGGCAACGGTACGTTTTGGCAGAAATCGTGACTTGGTACAATATCGTTATTCGTAGATCATATGGTGTAAAAGCCTCAAGTGTGTAGGTCTGTTGTATCTGTGTGAGTGTGTGCCCAGGTGTATCTATGTGTGTTCGAGGAGTATCTACTAGATGTGTTTGTCTGAGCCTGAGTCTTGGGTTGGTCTCTAGAGCAAAGCTATAGGCAGGTATTCGAGAGTGTAGAATAGTGAATGCTCTCTGAAAGGCAGAGATGCGACTATGATCTACGAAATGATGTTTGGGGGAGGTATTCGACCATAGGGGGTGATTTAGCTATTAGCAAAGCTCTTCTTCTGAACCCTTCAAAGCGAATAATCTACCTTTTAGCTACCTTTTCCCGTTCTGCCACTTCCGTACTCCCTCTTTATCCATTTCCTATAGCGCATTAACCGATCGACTTTAACTTTCCATCAGTTTCAATTTGCTGGCCACGTTTTGTTTTCCCCCATTTCGGTCGGAGGCTGGAAAGCCACACGATCGCAATGGCAACGAAAAAAAAGCATTGAAAAATCTTTTATAGCCTGTGATCGTATGCTATATATGAGGGAGGGATGCGGGGGACTGGGCGATGGGGAGGGCGTTACAGGGAGGCAGGGATCGAGTCTGCATAAACGCTCAGCGCTTACATATTTTGTTTGATGATGATTTTACAGCTTAAAACGAATTTTATGAGCATATGCCATTGTTTTGAGTTATTGTGAGAAATTTTTTTGGTGTATGGCCCAGAGCCAAAAGGCCCAGACAATGCTAGGTCCCCCCATCCTCTTTTCGGCCTAAGCTCTTTATGCAGAAAACTCAGATGCAGATGCAGATGCTGCCTAGGAGAGCCCCCAGTGATACACATGTTTAGATACGCGTCGGCGACATTAACTGGCAACAACACCCCAGACCCTGTCCCAGCCTCAGTGCTAGGTCCAGGGTTTTGTCTTGGGTTTGGGCCTCCGTCCTGAAGCACTTAGCCGAAACGAGCCGTGGCCGATGTGTCCGTCTGGCCCCTTAACAGTAAATTCGTGGCATCCGCGGCTGCCAGTTTTCCTTCTTTCGGTGCGGATTCCACAGCCTGGGCCAAAGCACCAGTACGAGTATCTTCGTGGCTGGCCAAGATACACTTTGTTAATTGAAAGCCATTAAAGGTAATTTTATGGGAGGCGTTAAGCCATGAAACGTGTAACATGACCATTGACATGGGCATCACCGAAAGGAGCCAGGAGGGAGCTGGCAGGGACTTGGGCACTGCGATTGTTGTCATGAAGTGAGGCTGGAACTCACTTTGCTTTACAAGTGGTAACAATTCTTTGTACTCCTGGGGTGCCATGGAATTTGTACAACTTGCTGCAAAACAGAGGCATGGCTTGGACGGAGGGAGTACACTCTAAGAGAAACCACAAGTATCTGTATCTTATTAATATTCGCCATATCTTTTCATTCTTTTCAGGCTGCAAATCATTCTTCAAACGCTCTGTGCGACGCAATCTCACCTACTCGTGTCGCGGCAGTCGAAACTGTCCCATAGATCAACATCATCGCAATCAATGTCAATATTGCCGATTGAAAAAGTGTCTCAAAATGGGCATGAGACGCGAAGGTAAGACTCTCTCTCCCTCTCTTAATAGATCATGCACAAATATATAGCAAGTATTACAGCGGGAACATCTAGAACAAAGAGATTCCTGCCTGTGGGTCAATTAAAAGTCAAACCCAGAGGCAAACAAAATAAATTAAATGATCGACAGAACAGAGGCAGCACACTAGAGGCAGAACGGAAGTAGAACAGCTTTCAGATGGCGGACGGACTCGATGACTAAATGTCACATGGGGGTGGGTGTCGTTTCGGTTCAGTTTGAGTTATTTGGGTGCCAAGAACTATGCCAAAGAATGTGGATCACATCGGATCAGGCCAAATATCAGGCGGCTCTCTAGCTGAGCAGCAGCCGACTTTGCTTCGGCTGGGGTACCACCCCAAACCCGCCGCCGCCTCATTCTCGTGTGGCAATCATCCACGCACCACAAATTGGTTTACCCAGAAACGGCCGTAATAGAAAATAACAATTAGGCAGGCCGGCGGGCCGGCAGGCGAGTGCAACATTTTGACCCCAGAGATCAAATGCAAACTCGTTCGCTCGTTTGTTCATAATTAAACAAGAAAGGAAGGCGCCTGCCTTTCGGGGGCACAAACGGAGCTATAAATACTCTTAAATTCGTTATTTGATAGAGTTTTTATGTGTCTTTAGTAATACTTGTTTTTCTATCTGCTTAACATGTTTACACTTTACATCTTTTTACATCAACGAGCAGATATCTTCAAGATACAGGTCTAAATCGTATGCACTGAGACAGACTTGTACTATCCACATCCATAAAATCTATCAGTTAATCAATGCCGACTGCTGGCCAATATGTAACCAATTTGTAAGCAAAGCCATGCCAAATATTTGGCATACTTGGGTGAGACTTGTTTTCCTGGCAAACGCTGGCTCTGAGATTGCCAAAGGCAGCGGCTCCACTGATTGACTGATTGACTGACTGACTGGGAGACTGACTGACTGGTAGACTGGCAGACTGGACTGACAATGGCCAGTTCAGTTACACTTGTCAGCATTAACAATTAACGTCTGTCAGGGAGAGATAGAGCCCAAGACTGCAGTTAGTGGACGCTAAGCTGTTATTATTTGCACTAATATTGACAGGTTTTTCGCAAAATGCTAATAACCAACGGCAGCCGACGACGCTAGAGACTACAGACTGTACGGATCTCTGTCTGTCATACATCGATTTGGGTTAAGAACGAAATCGTTAATTTATGGCGACTATGGGCAATTAAAATGCAGCTAAAGCCGCAGCTACAGCAACAGCAACAGCATCGATGCCTGGCCTGTCCTCTCAATGCACTTGTAATTAAATGAATATAAACATTTACTTAGTCCCCGACTAAGCCACGGCTAAGAGGGGCTATGGCTATGGCTATGGCTATTGCTATAGCATTTCAAATTTACCTAACCCAATGTTTGTTCGAGCCGCGAGACAAGTTTTTGGCTAATGACACAGTCTGAACCCCCAGGTCCAAGCTACAGAGCTACCTGTTGTTGAAGCCCCATTAATTCCGATTATTTCCTCACTTCTCGCGACTCCACTCCGCTTGTCCGCTTGTCCTCTTGTCCGCTACCAGATCCCCTACTTGTCCCACTGCTAATAAAACTCAAAAGAGTTCAACACCTTTTTACTGTGGCCAGGAGAGGGATTCGCCTTGAGTTGAGTCACACATTTCCTCAATGTAATGACAAGTTCTGCGTAAAACGAGTCCCCGCTCCTGCTCCTCACCTTACAATCAGAGCTGAAAAATCGTGGGAAAATCTCATTTCTGCATAGAATATTTTTGTCGTTTTTGCCCTCTTTATGCGAGGTGGGGTGATTCGGGGGGTGGGGGGTCAGTACTTTAGCCGTAAAGCGGGACAAAGGTGGTGCCTGGAATGACCCTGGGTCAAGAAATTGTACGGGTTTTGGCATACAAAAAGCCGAAACCTGAAAGAATCAACATGAAATCTGTGTTCCGGGTCGCTCTAATTAAATTCCAGTGTCAATTGGTCAAGGGAAGAGGGGGTCTGGACTTTCAGAGGAGGGAAGCAGCAAGAACTGGTCACAGATATTTTTACTATAATTTTTTAATCGAAAAAAAACGAGTTTCTGTTAGGGGAAGCAAATTTTACGGGATTTATTTAAATTTTTAAAGGAATTTTTCGTTAAAGGGATTGGGATCGTATAGGAATGCGGATATGATCTTTAAAGGGAGGTTTTTTCGCTGCGTGCAGCATTCCAAAATATTGAACTCTGGTCTACACTTTGACCCCGAATGGAATTCCAAACACAACACCTGCATACGGGGCTTGGTTCGAACGCATTTCTCGGCCAGAGACAATGGCCAGAGATCGCGGGCTTAGTACGAGAGAGACTTTGCTGGTTAGGAAAGTGGGTCAAACAAAGGTTTGTTTACACCTTAGCAAAACAGCCAAGGCAAAAGCAACAGCAACCACTCCACACCTTTATACGATAGACAACAGACACACATCCTAGGCACACCTAGAGCTCCAAGAGAGGGAGAGACACAATCTGGGCAGCGAAATCAAAGCCTTGGGGCCTTAAGACAAAGCAATGGCAAAAACATTATTATTGATCGAAGCGAAGCTCTCATTGTACGTACTACATTGCACAGCTGGAAAAGGAGCCTGAAACTCTGTCTCTACCTGGAAGCCTAACGTAACGTAACGTAACGTCTTTTGTCGACTGATTTCCTTGATCTGAAAAGCGAAAGCACTTTTGGTCAGTCCGGCACACACATGATCTGGAAATCCCTTTTGGCTCGGGGTCCGCTAGAAAGGTGTTTGTTTATTGCTTTACCGAAGCAATTAAGCTAAGGGTTGCTCTGTGCCACTGACCGCTCGGAACCAGTTCTTTGACCACTGTCCGGTGTCCGGCCAGGGGAGATTGCGAGAGACAGTTATTTACAGAATACATTTGCGTAATTGTGCAGGGCGAGAGGATTCCATAAGGCCATTTCCTACTCCTAGTCCCATTCACTGGGTGATCTATGGGCAGAAAGCGAACCATAAACCGGTTGGAGTGTCCAGTATCTTATTTATGCGCCTGGGAAAATATTGTCTGACCGCAAGAATAATGCAAGAAGCCAAAGGCTGCAAGAAATGAGATGCAGACCGATGGCTAAGCCTGTGGTTTTTGGTCCGCAGATCAGGCCACAGATTACAGCAGCCAAGAAAGCAACATCGCACGAAGGGATTGTGGTCCTTGGCCCTGACTTGCCCTTTTCTTTTCGCTGGCGCTGATTACTTAATGAATGAATCCTCCAGTACGCCAGCACGTGCTCAAGTTTCCGCTTACATGTCACTCGAGAGAGCGTGTCCAAGTGGCTTAACTTAACTTTTGCACATCCCATGGTCATATGTATATCCCATATATACAGAAAACAGAAGGCAGCAGACAGCAGGCCCATCCTCAATGCTCAGTGCTCAATGCCCAATCCCCAAGTCCAAGTCCATGTACATGTCAATGTCTCTGTCTCTGCGGGGAAATTCCGTTTCCGGCCTCGAGTTCAAAAGGCCTTTCACTTTCCATTTAGTTGCTTTGTTGTTGAGCATTTACATTGTTAATTATATTGTTTAAACGTGTATATACTATATCTCTACCTACATATATCTACTTTTCACTGCAACAAAAAGGAAAGAAAAGAAAACCTGTCCACATTTCATTTTGCGAAATCTGCACAACTCTTCCCTACTTCTGCTTGAAAGATCTACTGCCCGGGACATACGTATCTTAAAGATGCGTTGAAAGTATTTAGTTCAATTTGCATATCTAAGCAGTTGCGACAACACCCAGCAATGGGGTTGAAAGCGACTCAGGGTTAGGGTTCGGTTCCGATTTTGCTTCGAGTTTTTTGGGGGGTAGTAATGCCATGCCACAGAGAGCAGCGAAAAGTATCTTATGGCGTTGTCTTGGTCTTGGGACAAAAGGCACACACAACACCACACAACGACGCAGATCTGTGTGCGCCAGAGATGCGTCAGAGATTGAGAGATTGAGGTGGCCTGATATTGTGCCCCATTGTGCGCTGTGGCAGCTTTGCCAACAGATCTGAATGCGCTTCATTGTGCGGAGTGTGATGTGGCGGTCAAAATAAGCCCAACAAAAGGGATAGTCCCTACCTAGGGGTATCTATAGAGTACCTATAGAGCCTTAGGCAGTTTTTAAAATTAGTTAAAAGTGTAGCGTATAGATTCCTCTCTTCTTTCCATCCAAAAATCATTCAAAACATCAACTAATTTCCGGTGTCTTATCATCTCTCTTTGCAGCTGTTCAACGGGGACGCGTACCACCCACACAGCCTGGTCTGGCAGGCATGCATGGCCAGTACCAGATCGCCAATGGAGATCCCATGGGCATTGCCGGCTTCAATGGTCACTCGTACCTCAGTTCCTACATCTCGCTGCTGCTGCGAGCGGAGCCATATCCCACGTCCCGCTACGGCCAGTGCATGCAACCGAACAACATTATGGGCATCGACAATATCTGCGAGCTGGCCGCGAGGCTGCTCTTCTCCGCCGTTGAATGGGCCAAGAATATACCCTTCTTCCCCGAGCTGCAGGTCACCGACCAGGTGGCCCTGCTCCGCCTAGTCTGGTCGGAGCTGTTTGTGCTGAATGCCAGCCAGTGCTCGATGCCACTGCATGTGGCACCACTGCTGGCGGCGGCGGGTCTGCACGCCTCTCCCATGGCAGCGGATCGGGTGGTGGCCTTCATGGACCACATACGCATCTTCCAGGAGCAGGTGGAGAAGCTGAAGGCGCTGCATGTGGACTCTGCCGAGTACTCCTGCCTCAAGGCGATCGTTCTGTTCACCACCGGTAAGTTGCTGGACATCCTCTACAAGGATGTGCCCGCACTGCTAACGAAAGTTTCAGCTCTGCTCGGAAAGCCGTCGAGCTCCTCCACCAACGACGATATCCTCAATATAGTGCGTGACCATCTCGATGAGCTGAATCGCCAGGAGATGGAGTCGCAGGCTCCCACCCAGGCGCCCATCCACTTGGCGGCTTTCATGAAGAGTGTGGCCGGCGTTGAGGCTGCAGTGCAGCAGGCGGAGCAGCACCAGCAGCAGCAGCAGGTGCAGCAGCAACAGCAGTTGCAGGCTGAGAGCAAACCCTCTCCCATCTGTTCCTCTGCGGCTGTGGTGCAATCCGCCGGCAGTGCCTTCAGCAGCTGCGCCAAGTCCACTGCCAGTGCCTCCGAGATGGATCTCCTGGCCAGTCTCTATGCCCAGGCGCAGGGTGCGACCTCGAATGGGGACTCTTCCGGCCACAATAACAGCAGCGGTCTGGGCGCCTCGCTTCCTACTCAATCGCAAAGCGGTTCGTCGTCCCTCAACCTAACCGCCTCGCCGCTGAGTACTTCGCTGGCCCCCGTCCCTGCCCCAGTTGCAGCCCCCGTCTCCGTGTCCGCTCCTTCCTCTCTTTCAATCCCCACTTCGGTGGCTGCCACCACCACGGCCGCCTCTTCGCTGGGTGGAGCCTATCAGACGTCGTCCGCTGCGGCGGCGGCTGCTGCCATGTTCCACTATCAGACGCCGCCGCGTGCCCCCTTCGGATCGGCCTTCGATATGTTCCATCACAGCACGCCCTTCGGGGTGGGGGTGGGGGGTATGGCACATGGCCATGGCAGCGGATCCTTCGGTAGTCCCACCTATAGGTACTCTCCCTATAGCCTGGCGGGCAGTAGATGGCAGTTGTAGGCCGTTGTTTGTCGCTAGAATCTCATCCCGCCTCAGTCGTATAGCTCTACCTGTAAATGTATCTGTATCCATGTCTATAGCTAGTATAGCACATACGTGTATCTAAAGCTACTTTAGTCGCTGTCTAAGTATTTATTGCCTTACACTAAGTCTAAATTATTATAGCCGTAATCCTTAGCCTAGAATCGTTATTGCCAAAAATACGCATACAAAGAATCGATGAAAGTTTGGAGTAAAAATGAAGAAAGAAAATCCTCAGAATATATATAAAGCTGTTGCTGTTAAACCAAAAAATCTAATCCTGGCTTGTGTTTTTACTCGTTTATTTCGTTACTAATTTTTTAAATCGCTTGTTGACTAATTTTAAAAGTATTCACTAACAATGATTATATCCTGACTAACATTCCTAACTCTAACATTGGTATCTTGAAAAACTGCTAAGCCTGAAGACTACTTCAAAGTACAAATATTTGTCTCCCAAATAAGTGGGGAGTTATAGACGTTGAAGTAAACAAAATATTTCAATAATATTTTTGAACAAATACTCATAGATGTTATAAAAAACAAATTTATCAAAGTTCAAGCAATTATTTCATATCTTCAATCCGGATTGATGGTGAAATCTGTTCATGATACAAGATTGAAGTTTGACATAATTAATGTTGAGTTCAAATTCGTTAATGAATCACTATGATCAACTAGTTTTAGTTTCAATAACTACAATTTGATTATTCCTACCTTTTATTGGAATTTAAAGCATTTGAAACTAAAATAATTTGATCATGGTCAAACATTTATATCCAAAACTTCAATAGAAATTTCTAGAAAAATATTTTGACCATCCAAAAGTTTTGTATATCAATATCATTACACAATCAACAGCCACATTTTCAAATACATATTCGAAGAATTTGTATCTTTTTGAATCAGTTCATCTAAAAATTTACGAAGAAGAAAATCAATCTTTAAAAAATATATACAATATATACAACGATTGTCCTACAAGGTCCCGAATTTTGTGGATGAACTTTGTAGAACTTTCATTATTGATCCAACAATTTTTAGAAAAGTATATCGACGATTAAAATTCGTTAACGCTTTAAATAGTTGAAAAAAAATTACTCTTGTAAAACTTTTTCTCAAAAATGGCAAATGGTAAAGCAAAAATTAACCAAAAAATAACCAATCTATTATCTCGAAAACCTAAAGTGATGAACACTCTCTGATTAAGTTTTCGAGACAAGCAAATATTATCCCCAGGTAAAGGCTTTAATTTATCTTTTATTTATTCACCTTTTCTTTCAGCACATGGAAAGCTTTAAATTTGGTTGATTTTTATATCGCTAAAAAACCTATAATTTGAACAAAATTTGCAGTTTTCCTTTCTCCACACATTCATTTATTTATTACTAATTTTTACACATTTTTATTTCGTTTTTTTTAACAAAAAGCTTGACTCAAAATTTAATCTCATCCGCACGTGGCTACAGAACTCTGGACTTTGGGATTGCACACACAAATGCACATCTAACACGCACTCAAACACACACACACACACATACACACATAAATCACAGCCACTAATATGTGAATATTTAAACAATATATTTCCTAAGATTATAAGTATATATATTTAGGTTCCACGTGATAAATAAATCATTGATGTTTCGTATGCAAATAGAAAGAACAGACAACTTTTTTTTGAGTCTAAGTTAAGTTTATGTTAAGTTTAAGATAAGTTTATCTCTAAGTTAAGGTTTTTACGGGTAAAAATTCCAAAAATGCAAAACTTTATAGCATTTCGCGCACTGAATCGATGTACTGAGGCACAAAAACTACTAAGCGTTGTACGATTTTACGATCTTCCCCAAAGTTACACAATTTTCCTCATCGAAAAGATGAGAAAACGAACTATTACCTTGATATAACTAGGTTCAAAGATACCTAAAATAGTTTTCAAAGTCTATTTTTACAAGTAAAGTGAAATTTGGCTGAGGTCTGAACCTCTCCCATGTGCACCCTCCTTTATGCCAGCACTCCTTTCTCGTGTCATGTCAACCAGCTGTCGAGGAGCACGTCGCAATTGTTTTTTCCTCTAAACTGATCCGAGCCGATCCTCCTCTTAGACCCCTCTCTTCCACTGTTTTCGTGGCGACGTTTATTGACGTCGCGATACCACATTATGAACATTAATACAACACTCGTTTATGTCGCTTACTTACAAGCCAAACTCTAACTCCAACTGCAGCTCCAGCTCCAGCTCCAGCTACAGCTCCAACTCCAATCCCGACCCGATCCGACCAGTGGACCATGTCCAGGCCTTGGCCAAAACTTGCAATGAAAATAATTTTTACAATTTCCACAAAACGCTGTGTGTGTCGCTAGGCCAAAGCTCTGCATCTGCCTCTGCCTCTGCCGCTGCCGCTGCCACTGCCCCTCCTCCTTCTCCACCATCATCTCCTCTATGAGGGGGCGTGTGTGGCATGGAGTTTGCTCGTTCGTGGACTCGTGGACCCATGGACCGACCCGACCCGACCAGCGCGCTGGTGCCCATGGTCTGGGACCGAGTTGCAGGCCGCAATTGCATTTGAATTGGCTGCATGAGTCCATAAACTGCAGCCGATCAATCGCTGCGTCGTCGTCCCCATCGTTTTCGACTCTTTCTTTGCAGATTGTGGGAGACGAGACACGATCGCGGTAGTAAAATACCGGGTATAGACTTACTAGATCTTCTGCTGCTGCAGCACATTGACGACATGTCTTCTGTGGCTCTGATCCTATGGCTGTGTGGCTGTGGCTGTGGCATGGTTACCCATGGTGCATCTTCCATGGCCAGGGCTCGGCCTCTGGCTCCGTCTTCCCCCCTTCTGATTGCTGTCGTTTGTTGCAGTTGTTAAGAGTTGTAGCTTTCATGTCTTGGCCACACTTTTTGACCAACATTTTGTGTGCTTGCGATTTTGGATGTGGCTCTGGATCTGGCTGTGGCTGTGTCTGTGTCTGCGGCTGCTCAAATCGTTTTGTGGCGCTCATTGATCGCTTGCGCTACTTTTTCCCTGAAAATTGCCAGAGACGTGCCTTGTGGCATAGAGCCTATAGAGCTCCCCTTCTTGTAATTAACAGTTTGAGTCGAGAGGCAGACGGTCTCGTTGATTAGAATCATTAAGGGCGCGTTTCGATATTAGCTTTGGTCTGGGAGTCAAAGTTTGCTCAAGATTTAGATGCCGTTGATAGAGGGCAGGCCTCCTCGCTCGCTTGTCTCTACACAGTTGACCCCACATGACCCCTCGATCCTTATTAAAACTAAATAAAGCTATAACTGTTTCTGCGGCCAGGCCAGGTCCAGACACGAACTTTTGGTCCGCCAGAACTGGTGCCGCCATAAAGAACACAAAATCTAATAAAATATAATGCAGCAATTCATAATTTTGTTAAACAGCGTCGTTTCCCCCTCCCATACCATCCTTGTGCCTGTGTGGCTGTATGCTTTTCCGATATGTAGAGTCGTCTGGTGGCTTGGTCCAACTACTTTACGGTCATTATGCATTTAAAACACGCGGTCACGATCTCTGCCTCCCTCCCCTCCCCTATATATCACCGTCTGCGTCCGCGCTGCTGAGTTAGTGACTGCGACGAGTCGAAACCCGAAAACCAAAGCCCAAAACCAAAAACCAAATACAAATCGAAGCCAAAAAACTCGTAGGGTACATAACTACAAGGCAGGAAAACGGTTTAACAAAGACTCCGGAGTCGAAGGTAGAGAGCCACAGCCACAGCGAGAGCCAAGAGGAAAAAGACAGAAAACCACAGCTTTGGGGGGTCGAAGCATCAAATACCCACGAAAATCAATCTAATGTTAAATATATGTACCTTGGATTGAAAACTTAAAAGAGACTCATGGAAATACTGCTGGTTTTTGGTTATTTAAAGAACCATAGAAGTTCTTTTCCATGTCGATATAGAACAGTATAGAGATCCGATATAGTTGATTCCGACATATACACAGTCAGAAAAATATTGCATACAAAACAGATAAACGGCACTTTTAAAAGTGCTGCACTGGACACTTCCGCCTGCTAGATTTCAAGCATCTCCTCAAACTCATAATACCCTGTAAAAGAGCATAAAAATCAAAGTCAAAGACAAGGCGAGACCCCTCGAGAAAGCTCCGCTCGACTCTGTGCCTGCATTTCTTTTCGGCCCCAAAGACCTGGAAGTGGAATGTCTTTCACTTTAAGCATGCAACTCCTCCGCTGTCCCAGTCCCAGTCCCAGCCTTCTTCTCCTGGGACTTCTCCATCCTCCAACCAATATCCAGCCAGCATCATCATCTCTGCTGCATTTCAATGAAACTAAAATTTTGTGTGCCTCCGCCGAGACTCCCTCTATTGTTGTTTTGGCTTTATGATTTTCTATTTGGGTGCAGACACTGGAAGAGACTCCAATCCCGATCCGTCCCAGGCTAATGGAAAGTCAATTGACAATTATGGCCATGGCCAATGAAGTGATTCGTTCGAGGCTCTCTGCTCTGGAAGACTGACCATGTCTAATTTGTATCGCCATCGTATCGTTGAGACTTGAGCTTCACGATTACGAGTACCTCTGTTTCCTTCGTTTGTTTGACTTCATGGTTGCTTGTTGTTTATGAAATGGAATGGTTAATAATGGCTAATTGAATTTCTGTTGTGTTTTGCCTTAGGCGACAAATCATTTAACTTGATTTACGCGCATTGTGTGGGGGCTAAAAATGACTCTGCTCCTTTGATACTTTAAGAGTTACAGACTGACTCTGAACTGGAGGAGGTCTGATTCTTCTAGACCTCAGTTTTGTTGCAGCTTAGAGCATGAAATTTATATGATAGCTTAAATCTAAAAAGGTAACCACGCGTTTATCTGAATAACTGAATCTGCGACTTGTTTAAACTTTGGATTTCCTGCCCCGTATTGCCTTTCAATTGACACTTGTCTTTTATGGCCAGCTTTTCGGTTTATGTGCAACCAATGCGACGCCAGAGCCATTAACGACATGCAGTCAAATGTGAGACCCGAAACCAAGACAGCCGGCCCCTGCAATCATCGGATATATGAGCCTGACATCAAATCATGATGATATCGGCTGGCAAATGGCCAAATCATTAGCCGCCTGTTCGGTTCGGTTGTTCAGCTGCAAAA